ACACTTTAGCTCCACAACATAATCATTTTTAGCATTTATTTGAGGCTAAAACCTCGTAGTTGTCATCACATTAAACCATTAACCAGGAAAAAGGGGCAAACTTAAGAGTATAATGGCAACCCCCCCCCCCTCTTCTCATTGTTTGGTATTTTTCAATTGTCCTTAAAACTAGAAATGTAACTAAAAAAAGTGTTTTTTTATACTTTTTGCCAAGAACTAACAACAAACTGCGCATTCTATATTATTAACAAGAAGCTTACTCTCATCGGAAAACACTCCCAATCCTTTTCAACCAAAAAAGAAAAAGACTAAAATCCTTGGAGCAACAACCACTGCCTAGTAATTTAGGTTGGGAGAGATTATTTAAAAAAAAAAAACCAATACAGCTGTGGAAGTAAATATGGTTGCAACCAGCGGCTTTATATGTTCATGCCTCACCAAATCTGCAACACCAAATAAGAACAAAAGAATACAACATAGTTGAATGGAAGGATTACCCTAGGTCGGAGAGCCTCAGGTGAGCATCAGCATAATCAGCAAAAAACGCATCCTCATCCTACAAATGACCAAATTCAACAACCCTAAATATAAAATTTCCCATAATTGAATCGAATATTGTTGCTTACAGCGGCATATTTCTCAACCAAGGGATGGAATACTGAGACAGACAGCAGAACTTGGTCAGTTGGCAGCCGCAAAAGATGGTCTTTCTTTCCACCCAACAACTCCCTGCAATATATTTATCCAATTGCCATCAACTAAATTCAATTTTCTACGGATTTGTTCATTACAAAATGGATTTGCATTTTCAATTAATGACCCGAGTTTAGCTGTTGTACGTTTTGGGTTATTCATATGAATTAAAATGAATTGTGCATAACTAGTCAAAATTGAAACTCGAAGTACGAGCTGTCAAAGATTAGATGATTGGCAGTCCATGCTCCCTCGTATCCAGACCTCTCCTTATGGCACCTTCCCTGCATCAAAGGCAAAGAAAATAGACCCCGTTTTTAGAGGATAAGAGGCAAATCACAATTCAGGCTTCAAGAAAACCAAGGGAAATTTAAAAATGTATAAAGATACCAGGGGTGGCCACCAGAAAGAGCAACAATGTCCTTGTCCGTAACCCCATTTGAGTAACGAAAACCTGCCTCAAACGATCAGCTCCTACAAAATTTTCATCCAAAATAACCCCACCTTCATAATCATATACAAGAATGTAAAATATGATCCTTAAAATACGTAAACAAGTTAAGAAAATTGAAATTATCCGTATCAAACGCAAGCTTATATCTGATATTAATACTAACCCGTGGTAGCATCAGGAAGACGGGCCTCAGGTGCTGCTTCATTCTTGTCCTGCATTTATTACAAACAAAATAAATGTGGGCAAAAATACAAATTTATTAACATTTCAACAACTCAAAACATATTTTACTTTCAATTCCATTCCTCAAAACAAAACCAACTGATGTTATATGGTTAGCAATTTTACGTAGACGAAAACCTTCTAAATGCATTTATCACTTCTTCATGTATCTTAAAATAAGCAGAAATCATGACTGACCACTCTCCCGGGATGTAAGGGAATTTCAGGTCCACCGGTGACCTCAACAGCGACGACGACCAGCAAGCTACAAATGAATCAAAAACCAGAAAGAAAGAGTCAAAATGAAACATGAAATGGTAAAATCTGAAAGCAGACAAATAAAAGTGCAATACCTGATAAAAGTCCGCAAAAGAGATAGTAGGAAACTGCTCCTTGATCGGCTCCAGAAACTGGACGGCAATATCGAGACCGTTGTTAGCGTTATGTGCGAGCTCAGCAGCATGCTTCAAGGTACAGAATGGACCTCCGGTCTTGGTCTGACAATCAAAAGTTCCAGCTGAGTGCCACCTGTCCATCACCATTACCGTACGATCAATTAGCATCATGGATCTCACAACCGAAACATTTAAAGCAGACGACAGATAAAGAGAGGTTACGCTAATCGGAGCATGATGGGAGCACAGTTCTTCTCAGCGATGAGACCTCTGAGCTTCCTCCTAGCCTTTTCAATGACCTTGTTGTAATCCTCGGTGACGGTAGGATAACTCTTGGGCATTTTATCTGATATCTACAAATATCAACAAACGAAATGGAAAACAAAACCATAATATACTTCCGAAAACGAACCTTTAGTTTGAAAGTAAAGTAATGGAGAGAGTAGACAAATGAAGCACTGTGTTTGATTAATTTGGGTTTAAAATTTCATTGATATATGGCTGAGATTGAATATATGGAATCGCAGTGAAGATTGTGTTGGGGAAAATCGGATTTTGGTTTTCATATCTCAACAACAAAGCCCGCTAAACTTGGACATTATAAATTTAACTTCACATATAATGTCTTTTTATTTTCTTTTAAAAAATAAATTTTATTATAATTAATTATACATATAATGTCTGATTTTCAACCCTGTAAGATTTGACATGTGTAATTGAACACACGTGTAAAATTATAAATATTATACTAAAATTCAATTACTAAATATCCGTCCTATCACACTCTTAAAAATCATAATTTTCTTTTTTTTAATGAAAACTAATCTTAATTGTACATATTAATTATTTCCCAATTTGAAAATGTTAAACTATAAATTCCTACCTTCTTATTGGTTTTCGTTTGTTTTAATAAGTTTTAAATATGACAACAAGCATAATAAAAATTAAATTGTAATTTATTTAATTCAATTAATATTATTATAAATATAAACATATAAAAATATATATTTATCCTATGAGTGGATGCCTGTTGTGGCAATTACCAAATGGCAGGTGTAACCGAGGAGTAAGATCCAATGGTTTAAAAGCGATATTTTAGGATTAATCTGCGCCATCAACTGAATACCTAACAACGTGGCGAACATCGGAAGTATTACGAGCAACCCCCTCTAAGAGCGGGACCCATCGAGCTGCGGCAAAGGCATGCCAAACTCTTCTAATAGTCCATATATTATACATACATTTTGGATTAGTCCCTATACTCCAATTTGGTCCTATTTTACAAATTTTGATATTTAGATTCTAATCTAAAAAGTATGCACTAAATATAATAATTTCAAATTTCGTGATTATTAATCATATTATTAGTAAGTTATATATTTCAATTCATCATTTTAAGTTTTTATAATTTAATTATTTTGTCCTATCATGATTGAAAAATTAAATTTAAAAAATATGAATATAATAAATAAATTAAAGGCTTTACAAAAAAAATACTTAAAACTATATTTATTTTTTCATTTAAGTGTCTAAATTTTTTTAGTCAATATAGGTGTCTAACGTTTGCAACATTACTCTCTTAAGTGCCTACGTTGTAATAGCCGTTAAAAAATACTGTTATCTGACACATGTCATGTTTATATGTTTTTTTTTGTTTTTTTATTTTTATAAAATAAAAATATTATTAAAAATTAGTTTTTATTAGGGAAAATATTATTAAAAATTAGTTTTTATTAGGGAAAAAACTTATTTGAAGCTATTTACCCATTCCCCGTCGAACACACGCCGTTTCCCTTTACGTTGAATCTCCCATGAATTCACAGCCATCCTCCCCGTTGAATTCCAATGAATTCTGAGTATCAAACCACGTTGAATCCCCATAAATTCTAATTGTCAAAATTCCGGAAAATTTCCCATTCATGTGGCATTTTAAATTTAGGGTTAGAGGTTTAGGGGTTTATACATTTAAGGTTTGGGGTAGCGATAAGTATGATTGTCAGGCAATGGGTTGGCGATGACAAGTGGGTGACCGTTCAACGACAGAGTTATAGTTCGAGGTGGCTGGAAATTGGATGGGATTTAAAATTAATGATTTAATAGTTTTGGGGTGTTTTATGAAAAACATAAAAAGTTTGGGGTTTTTCTAATTTTTTAAATCAAAGGAAATAAAAAAATCATATCATGTGTCAAATATTGGTTGATTGATTTTTAACATATTCTTTTAACGGTAGTAACAAATAAAGCACTTAAAATAATAATATTTGTAACGTTATGTATCTATATTAACCGAAAAAAAGTTTATGCACCAAAATGTGAAAATAGGTATAGTTTAAACATTTCTATATTAAGCCTAAATTTAAATATATAGGTTAAATCAATAATTTATATATAAATATAAAGATTGATGATAAAAATTGATTAAAAAAACCCGAAAAAATCGAAAAAATAAGGAGCCGATCCCATAATAACAAAAAGATATAATGTCAAAATTAACTTACAACATTTATTAAAATGGTTATTTTCCCTCTATTTTATTATTTTAGAGTATTTTGACATTTAAAGTTTCATTTTAGAGTAAAAATGTCCCTAATGTTTGACATAATAATCACTGTCTCTTATTTTTGTGTGTGGACATTTTAGCCTTCAACCTTTTATTTTAAGTTAAAAAGGCTCATATTTTGGAGCGATAATTGTGTATTAACTAATGATTTTTATCTATAGGGGGAGTTTTTTGTCCCAAAGTAAAATGTTGAGTGCTAAAATGCTTCAAAAAAATAATATGAACTAAAATGACTATTTTGATTAATGTTGGGTCTATTTTGGCATTATGCCTATTTGAAAATTCAAGAGTAGCAATAGAAAGTTGACAATGTTTTATCTGACAGTGACGCTATAAAAAGAAGATTTTCTAAGGTAATTATTTCTTTTATCAAAATTGATATCTAAAACTTGTTTTTCTTTCATTTTAGCCACAAAGTTGACGGTGTTGAAATTTGGCTAATCATTGACATCCGATAATAACGCTCCACGTGTTTTATATACAAGTATGTTTTCACGTTTTACATTTTTATTGGCTAAAATTCTACATTTTTTTTCTTTTAACGGTGTTAATTTCTGGATAAATTGGAAATATAATAGTTTAATATTACTTTTAAGTTTGAACAAAAAAGTACTTAAATGAGAATCGGGTATAGCTTTAGGGTCAATATGTAAATAAAACCAAAGAAGGAAAAAAATGATAATTGCAAGTAGCTAAAAAGGCCAACCGAAAAACCAAAAGAACCCTCTCTTTTTAAAGGCTCTCTCTTTTCTCCATTCAATTTTCTCTTCACATTTCCTTGTCGTGTTTTGTTGTATTTGTTGTTCATCGCACAATCTCATCTTCACAGATTCGTCATCTTCTCGATCCCCAACTAACTGTAAGTCATCTCTCTCGCTATCTCTTAATCCGAAACCCTAAATTTCCTATTATGACATTCGGTCCTTCTCTTTTATTTTGTCATGATCCTTGATCCATGTTCCTCATTCTGTAATTTACATAGTACTGCTTATTCTTTTTGTCTGCTTCTTTTCCTCTTGCTATATTGTATTTCATTTATGCAATTGACGATTACATATTGATTGGGAATTTGATTGTTTGTTAATTTGGTTTGATATTTGATTAGGAAGCTTTGGTATATTTCTCTACTAAGCGATCGAGATTTGTTTTGGTGGTTACTTCATTTTTTCCTGGAAATTTTAGATTTATATTATTAAAATGGGAATGGGGATTTCTAGTGTTCGATTTGCGATTTACCTAAATGAAGTGTTAGATTTTGCTATTAATTTTTTTCTTCTGAGGGGTTTGATCATTGTGATGAAATGATAAATGAAACCGTGAAGAAATTTTATTGATACCGTTTGTATTTCAATTGATGATTCAGTTACGTATGCTTTTATTATTAGGAATTTTCTATTAAGTGATTGTTTATTTGTCTTGGGGATTCAGGCAATCATGAGTGACGTCGGAGAAAAGACCTGCCCCCTTTGTGCGGAGGAGATGGATTTGACTGATCAGCAACTGAAGCCTTGCAAATGTGGTTACGAGGTTTGACGCATATTGTTATTTCATTTTTCATTTTTTTAATCATTTGTTTTACAATTCAAGTCAGAAAAATGATGTAAAAATGTAATAAAAGTGAGAACATAGGAAAATGGTGGGTAATTAATGTGCGCCATCTGGCCTTATCTCTATTGACCTTCGTGGCAGATATGTGTTTGGTGTTGGCATCACATAATGGAAATGGCTGAGAAGGATGAGGCTGAGGGAAGGTGCCCAGCTTGTCGTACTGCTTATGATAAAGAAAAAATTGTACGGACAGCTTCTAACTGTGAGAGGTCAAGCTCCCACTCTTTAAAAATATTGAAATGTTTACTTGCCTTTGTCTCATATATATTCACCTTCCGCCCCTCTTAGCAGGTTGGTTGCTGAAATTAATTTTGAGAGAAAAATGAAGTCACAAAAGGCAAAGACTAAATCATCTGAAGGAAGGAAGCAACTGAGCAGTGTGCGAGTCATTCAAAGGAATCTTGTTTACGTAGTCGGGTTGCCACTTAATCTGGCAGATGAAGATGTACACTCTTTCTAATCTTCGTGTGTGTGCATTTTCGAGATAACTTTTATACACTTGTATGAAGATAACTAAACCTGTTTCTCTTTTCTGCAGTTTCTCCAAAGTCGAGAATATTTTGGTCAATATGGAAAAGTTCTAAAAGCATCTTTGTCTAGGACAGCAGCTGGTTCCATTCAGCAATTTCCAAACAATACATGTAGTGTGTAAGTTCAGAAATATCTTGTTTAGGTTTTAGATTTTCCAACTGTTCAGACATTATTGTTTTGCTTGTTAAAACTTCAATAGGAGCATTTTATGTATTTAGGTTTCTCCAGAAAGGAAAACCTGTTTTTATCATATAGTAGGTTTTCTCCACCTTGTCTCTTTGGTGGTTTTCTGCTGTTAGTATATCTCTTTTTCAACTTATATTCTTCTTTACCCTGTGTACAGATATATTACTTACTCAAAAGAAGAGGAAGCAATTCGTTGTATCCAATCTGTACATGTATTTGTCTTGGATGGTAGACCATTAAAGTATGAGAACTTGCTTTTGGAGTTTTTCTTTGGTTGGTGGTTGGATGGATTGTTGTAACTCTGGTTATCATCCCTAATACTTGGAATATATATTTCAGGGCATGCTTTGGTACAACAAAGTACTGCCATGCATGGCTGAGAAATATGGTATGTTTAGAAGTGATTTTTTCTTCATTTTTTTAATGAGTTGAAACTTCTATTTATTATAGAAACTAATGTATTAAATGTAATTGAAGATTTTATTTTGGGGTTTCAGCCTTGCAGCAATCCTGATTGTCTATATTTGCATGAGATTGGTTCTCAAGAGGATAGTTTCACCAAAGATGAGATCATATCTGCATGCTCAAGGTATAATCATTTTGAGTATGCTTGCCATCATCTCTATTTCTTTTTTAATTTACTTCATTTTTGTTGAGTTTCTGTGGAACATTAGATAAAGAAATCCAACTTGTAAATGCTTTGCTTTTCATATAAATGCATGTGTGCATTGGCTATTACATCAATCTTATTTTGTTAGATAGGCTAATTAGAGCTGTCGTATTCTATGTTACCGTTATAGTAACCCATTCAGAAGAGTGAGATCTCATACCCTAGTAGTAAGGTTAGAAAGATAGAATGCCATTAATTATTGGAAAGCTTATCTTGCAAGGAACATTATTGGGAGCTTTTATTTCTATTCAACCGTATTTTATTTCTGTCATATGGACACCTCACCATTAAGATAATGTTCCAAAAGGATTTTTTTTTCCTTGTCAAATCAATTTTTTTAATTTTTGTAGCCGTTTTTAACTTTTTATTGCAACTTATCAATTCTAATGTGATTTGTTTAATGTCTCTCTTGGTTGTTTAAATGAGTAGGGTTCAACAAATAACTGGTACAACAAACAATATGCAACGGCGTGCTGGGAATATGTTACCTCCCCCAGTGGATGATTATTGCCCCAATAGTTCTTCTACAGCAAAATCCATTTCTAAAAGTGCTCCAAATGTAAGTTCATGTCATTTAACTCCCAAACAATAACAGGAAGTTCAATTATTACACTAATAATTTAGGAACAGTTAAATTGAGCGTACTTGCTGGCAGAATTTATTCAAAGAAACCCTTGGTAGTGTGATTGTTTTTACCTTGAGTCACTGAAATAAGAAAATTTCAAATGATAGGGTGGGTGGGTTGGTGGAGGTGGGGATGGGAATGTTTTAAAGCAACATGTATGCTTGACCCTCGCTCCTGCACCTGACTTAGGTTGTGATTTTTATACAGAATACAATATCAAGCTGTCAAAAAGATTCTCCTTCAAATGGAAGCCCTGGTAGATCTATTGCTCTTCCTGCTGGAGCATCATGGTATGTCTTTTTGTGTTGTTCTCATACCCTTCTGTTGTGTTAATTTGTGATGCTTAAAATCCGATCATTCTGCTAGGGGAACTCGTGCTTTAAACCAGCCACAATCAGCCTGTTTATCATACTCAAATGGACCTTCTAAGCAGAAATCTGATACAATTAGCTGCGCACCACCATTTTTATCTGCAGTAACGAACATAAATCGGTCTTGTACATTACATGATGATGTTGTAAAGAAACCATCTGAGGAGATCCATGCTATGCATATGAAGGGTAAATCTGATTTGTTAAAGCCCTTGAGACATAATGGTGGTTTAGATAGTCGAACTACTGCACTAGAGAAGCCTACTTCACCTGAAGGAGTTCCTGCCTCTAAATCATTGAGCAGGCGGATATCTTGTCCCCCGACGTCCATATATAATGACCAGGGCACTAATATACCATCAACTGTTACAAGCTCCATCTTTGGCCACTCTGAGAAGTCTTTTATTACATCCAATGTGAAAGTAGGGAGTATTTTGTCTACTGATGAGAAGATACAGAGCTTATGCTCTAATGTTTCATCATTGACCTTAGATAGGATTACCTCAAGTGGACATTCCAGTGTTATTAGACCTAGCAGTTCAGCCTCCGACCATGGATCAAGCAGCTCTTCCAGTAGTCATGGGTTACAACAGTGTTATACTGAGAACTATCGGGAACATTTAAATTCAGCAACCGCTGGGAGATCTGTGACATCCCCCAATAGTGTGTCTGTTTCAAAAGAGAAGTACGATTGGGGAACTGATACACAAACTCGAGCAGTGGTGAATACAAGTTCTGAAGTTGAAGAGGATGTATTGTCTTTTGATAATCAAAGAGTCAAGGATACAGAAGTTATTAGCCGGCCAAATTATATGCCTAATTCACCAATTTCATTTCATTTATCGAATCATTCTTGGCCCCATTCTTTTCAATACGGTGATTCTTTTGGCCTTGTTAATTTGAATGCTGATACAGCCTTTGTAGATAATAAAGTCAGTGACAGTTTACAATTTCATGGATCCGGTGTTTCGTCTTTATCTAATGGGTACCCTGAGAAGTACATAAGTAGTAGTATTGGTTCTGGTATTACAACAGAAGGCTATGTTCTGCCTTCAAATCAAGGGGAAGTGAAACAGATGGGAAGATTCCTTGGTAATGATGAGGACATTGTTTCCAAAGGTGAAACAGGAAAGAACAGCATAATTTCAAACATGTTGTCGCTAGATTTTGATACATGGGACGAGTCTCTAAGATCGCCTCAGAACTTGGCTAAATTGTTGGGTGACACTGACAAGCAGCAGTCTAGTCCTCTCAAATTTTCTAGTCCAGGGAAGGCTTTGAATAACAATCAGTCCAGATTCTCATTTGCAAGACATGAAGATTCTAAATATCATCCTTTTGATATTGAGTCCTCATGTGGTGTTTTTGGTCAAATGCCACAGAACCAGCTTTCAAGCCAAGATTTTGCTGAAAGCAGGGATCTCTATCTGAATAAGTTTGGAAGTTCTAATGGGTTACCTCCAGGTAACTTTGATGCATACAACAATTTTTCAGGCAGCCCTTCAGTTTTCTCTTCTAATAAGCTCTCTGGTGAGTTTCTACAAAATTACTCTGCCCCTATCATAGGTCAATGCTCCTACAGAACTTAAGGTTTTACTTTTGGTGTCAGAATGTTAAAGTGTCATCTGTTTTCTTAAAATTTTAGTAATGCCACAAGCATGCTCATAATGTGATCTTTACCATCATTAAAGATAAATTAGTTTTTCTTTTTTCTTTACTTTTTTTTCTTGTCTTTTTGTTTTTGGAATTTGTCAAAAAAATTCATTGATATAGTACATGCATATCCTTTTTTTTCAATGTTACATAGCAGTTTCAAGAGCTCGAGTGTCAGCACCACCTGGATTCTCTGTTCCCAGCAGGGCTCCCCCTCCCGGCTTTTCCTCTAATGGGAGAGTAGACCACAGTTTTGACACATCAGGTAGGTTCGCTTTTTATTATTTGGCTTGCAATCGTTAGGTGTTTCATTGCCAGAAATTGATGCCAATTTTGTTTTCCTTTTAGGATACTTGGACACTTTGTCCCTGTTAAGAAACTCTTATCAGGCTCCAGCAAGTAGTGGTATTGGTGGTGTTGGAGATATAGAAGTTATGGATCCAGCAATATTGGCAGTTGGTAAGGGTAGACTTCAGGGAGGGCTCAACAATTCAGGCTTAGATATGCAATCAAATTTTCCTCCACAGTTGGGTCTCTACGAAAATGACGCCAGAGTTCAACTATTGAGGCAGAGATCTCTTTCTCCTCATCAGAACCTAAGATATGATGTTGGGGATAGATTTTCTTCTCGTAATGGCTCTTACGGAGTTTCTTCTAGGGTAATGGATCAATCACAAGTGAACAACATATCCCCATATGCACGGTTGTATCTCCAACAGTCGAGGAATTCACATATGTCAAACGGTCCTTGGGATGGTTGGAATGAAGTCCAGGGTGGAGACAATGTTGGCATGGCTGAGTCGCTCAGAAACGAGAGATTGGGATTTAACAAGTTCTATTCTGGTTTTGAAGATTCAAGGTACAAGATGGGTGATCTATATAACAGAACATTCTGGATGTGATTGTTTTTGAAATCAACTCTTTGCTTAATTGACAATGCTAAGCGAGAGAATGAGTTTGGGGATCTTGGCCTCATGTTGGTGATGGGCAACGGTAAGCTGAGAGAATGACTTTGGCAGCCTCATGAAGTATCAAACTCCCAACAACTCAGGCCAAAAATGACCGCGCCTGCAAACAAGCAGGTAACATTGAACTATTTCAAGTTAATTATTACTGGTTGTAGGTATTTTCACAAGCATATTTTGCATGCTTCAAAAGTTCATATCTTGTGTTATTCGGCAGATAAAATGCACAGGTGAAACCAGCTCTTCTGCCATGGTTATTTCTGATATAATTTGGTTGCACCGCATGAGTGCTAGCCGTATACAGTCTTCTCATCAAACCGGCAGGATGGTCCTCTCCTGTTGCAGATAGTTATGTTGTTAATCACCCAATGCCCACCCCTGAAGTAAGATCCTGCTCTTGGAACTAAATAGATCTCAACTGTAATCCAAATTTACGTTTCTTGTTCAGATATCAATGGTGTGTAAACTGTAAAAGAGTTATATTTTGTTTCAGATATGGATTTACAGTGGTCTGTCAGCTGCTCCCCCCCCCAAAAGAAATGAATACAGGAGTCAGATTCATTTCTCTCTCTCTCTCTTAGTTTTCCCTTTTGTTTCAACCCATATTTGTACTAATTGCAAAGAAACAACAATTTGAACAATAGTCATTCTTTTCCATTTCTATCTTAGCACTTTGTAGTATTTGTTTTTAAGAAGAAAAAAATATATAGAGGTTCTATAATTATTTAAACTTCTCTTGAACAATTTTTTCTCATACCAACTTAGATTGTTATTTTTTAATATATAATTACTCAATATGCTAATTTAATTCAACTTAGAACTTTTATAGGATTTTTGACAATTTTGTTTCCTCTGTTTACATTTTATATTTTTTAAGGAAAAAAGAACACTTGTATTTATGTTTTCTTAATGAAATTTTTTTAGTGCACAAACTTAAATTTTAATCATAATTATTTTCAAAAAAAACAAATAAATTTTAATCATAAACTATAAACTTTAAAATTTTATCCATAAATCTTAAAATCAAAATTTAAAAAATTTAAATCCCAAACAATAGAAATAATATTAAAAAAAGTTTTCAATCATATATATCAAATAATAATTCATATTTAATACCGGCATTTTATTTGTTTTACATATCTTGTTGAGGAAGTAAATGAGTCCTCTATATAAGTCCTCGCACTCTCTTCACTTGTCAAACTTCCATCCATCCTCGTCCTAATAGCGGGAGCCATCTCTCACCAACCCATCTTCTTATTTTGAATAAGACAACACTCTTTACAATTCATCATTTGTTTTTTGCAATAACCAAACCGAAAGCGTACTTCTAATCCACCTCTTTTGCTTGTCTGTGTTTTCCAATAACTAACTTACTACCAAAGATGAACCAACAGAAATTTCCACCCAAAAGAGGCCAAATCAAGATCAAAATTATCAAAGGCTTCTTCAAATCTGCTGCGAAAGTTGTGTGGGTGAAGAAGAAGAGAGAGGAGAGAAAACAGAGGCGGCGTTAGTTGGAGCTCAACACCACCACCAATATCAACTCCCAAAAAATTACATGGATCATTCGATTCACTGAGTTGGTTCTTCAGTATTAAACGTCGTTGTTTCGTTCAAGCTGATCATTAGAAGTCGTTTTATTTCATTTTTCATTGCATATGGATAGGCACAAATTTGTTTTTCGATACTTAATGCAGACCCTGTGTTAATGTTTGTGGTGGCTAAGCTAGTGAAAGTGTTGAGACGTGAAGACGTAGCATATCAACGTGTCTCTTTGTGTATTATAAATAAAATTGCAAATTTTTGTTTAACTTTTTCTATTTTTAAAATGTTTTCATAATTCAGTCGGTCATTGCTGATTTTTATGCAAAGAAAGCAATAATTTGAACCTCAATTTTGTGTCTTTCATTTACAAAAATACTTTTATTTTTCCTTCTTAGTTCAAGCAATGAATCTAAATATATTGCTTTTCTTAGCCTATGTGCACTTCACCAATATTCTCTGGTTGCATCCACTCCTTCCAGCAAAAATTATAAATTAATATTTTATGTATTATTAATATGTAATTCTACACATTATTATTGAATATCTTACATTTGATGCATAGGATATTAATTTATTTTTTTACTATAAAGACGGAAGGATGAAACGCGCTTTCGTACCAATGGTTGGCAATGGCTGAAAGATATGTTGTCTCATAGAGACAGAGTCACAGTCATGGCTATTGCTACTTGAAAACAACCTTCAAAACTAAGACACCAACCACCCGTAATTCATTTTGGTAAAGTACACAAGTGGTCCCTTGATTATAGGATATTACTTTATTGAATTCTCGACTATTAAATATTACAAAATGGTATCCCGACTATAGGAATTTGCTTTGTTGAGTCCTTCGACTATTAGAAGTTACAAAGTTCTCATCCGACTATTCATTTTGTTCCAAACTCGTCATTTTTCGTTAAAAAATTAATGGCAATATGAGTTGGACATTAACCGGCTGACTGATATATGATAATCTTAAACGACTATCATATCTTAGTCAGCATGATAACATCTAAATCAGACTTCCGTTAGTTTTTTTAACGGAAAATGACTAGTTTGGAACATAATGAATAGTCGGGTAACATTTTTGTAACTTTTAATAGTCGATGAACTCAACAAAGCAACTTCCTATAGTCTGGATACTATTTTATAACTTTTAATAGTTGAGGGACTCAACAAAGTAATATCTTATAGTCTGGGGACCATTTGTATACTTTACCCTATTTTTTACTTAATAATTCATATATTTTCATATTCATTATGCGTTTAGTAAGTATTACTAAATCTAAAAGCTTGTTGTCACTTCCAAGTTGGCTCATGATAATAAAGAGAGATAAAGTAAAAAAGTTTTCTACTTTGTAAACTCGAATAAATTTGGAAATCATCTAAATGAAGATAAATTGCATCTAAACCCTAAGAATATATATAATATCTATTAAAAATAAATACTAAATTTATTTAATTTCGATCATTTTCATTAATATAATATCTTTAGTTACTTATTTAGATACTAATTGTTTAAAATTTATCAAATCGTTATTAAAATTCAATATTTCTATTTGATAATATTATGAAAAAAATCAAAATATAGACAAGAGGCTGAAATCAACTAAAGCGTGACCAATTCTTGTCCTACTAGAATGTTTTGCCTTCATTTTTTGTAATAGTTATCTCTCTGTTTTCCCCTAATTTTACGCATTATTCTTTGAGTTTGAAATTTGAATATTGAATAATTCATCAACTAATTAGTAGTCAACTAATGATTATTATTATTATTATTATTATTAAGTTAAGGTGATTATAGAGTAATATTTGTTCTAAATACTCTTAATTATTTGATGATCGAACTATTGACATCTATGAACAACAACGATTTCTTTTAACTATAATTTTTGGATGATATTTTATTTTGCATTGTTATTTTTATACCTTACAAAATCAAAAGAATTTAGAAAGAAGATTAATTTACATACATTGTTTTAATTTTCACAAATGGAATTAAAAGATGGCATCTAATATTTCAAAATATATGATAAATACTCGATTCTATTTATATATATAATCTATCAAACTGTCCCCACGCGCTCTCGTGTTTCAGTTTGGACTTGGTGACCAGTCATAAATAAGTTATATATTTGGTATTTTTTAAGAAAAGACAGAGAAAGCCGCGTACTTTTGTTAGAATTTAGGGTCTGAAGTATGAAGCAAGTTGACTATGCAATGTTGGAGAAACGAGATTTTTATTAGATTTTTCTGTATGCTCTTTCCTTTTTGTTTCAATTAAAAATGAACTTTTATTCATATTTAAAAACTGGGTCCCCATACACATAATTCTTTGAAAATTAGAATAGCTCGAGAGGAAGTAGCTCTTAACGAAAATATACATACAAGTGATTTTTTTCAAAATAAATAAATGTATTTTAACTTATCCTATAAAACTAAAAAGAAAATCATTTTGATCAAATAACAAATCGGAGTGGTTAATTCAAATATATAGAACAAGGAATTAGTGAAGGGGATGGGGCATTGAGAGAGCAGGTGGGATTAATGTTGTACAAAAACAAAAACAGCAAGGCCTTCCAATTTCATTTTCACATATTTGGATTCCTGGTTGGTTTTGCTCCACATCTATCTACCCGGTCCAATAAAATGGGCTTAACCGATAATATGAAAGATTTAGTTTTAAGTAATGTATCCCATCAATGATCCAGAAACAACCTCAAACCGTTAATATTACATTAATGGTAAATTAATCGTACACAACACCTCCCATAATTTATTTCTTCGACACTTATATGAATAAGAAAGACCACAAATTTGATCAACATATTGCACAAACTGATATAATTAAATCACTTCATTTCTTAACAAAATAAATTAAGTGTTTCTTTAGTCAAATAACACAACAATCGCGAAATTAAATTTTTATATTTTTATGTCAACCGCAAGTCACTTTCAAAAGATACTCTGAGATGAAATCAAAATTACTCCAAATCAATAAGAATATCAGAATATAAATATATAAACTATCAATATCTACGTGTCATGTTCTTAATATAAAAAATATAGTTGTGTGGAATTAAAATTAAGATGACATGGTATTGGATTGTTTGTAGTCTATAACAAGCTTAATTTTGAGTTCCTAGTTTCAGCTGTGTCTTGGAGTTAGAAATAGAACAAAGATCAAACACTGAAGGGATTAAATTGTTCCACGTAAAAAATGTAATAAATATTTAAATTTAAAATTTTTAAACTAATTTCTTATTTAATTAATATTTAAATTAAAAATAAATATTATTAGTACAAATAATTTGAGAGGGGGTTTTCCCTTGAATAGAGTCGTCCCTGGCTGGAGCTCACCTTCACCGACACGAACCAACTATCCATGGAGTACAGTTTTATTACGGAAGAGAGTAATAATAATAAAGAAAAGGGGGGGGGGGGGGTCAAAACTGATAGGCCTACCATAATGTTGGTCCATAATCATTCATGAAAGGGGACACCACCTACCAAATCCCAAACTATTCCTCCCCATCTTTTACCTGTTTCTTACGCACCTGGCCGCCCCCATCATTAAAATATTGAGTCCGCAGCCTTCTTAGCCGAGGACCAGATGTTTCATCCCATTTCACCTTTTGCAATTTAATATGTAACAGTAATGCCTGTCTTAATGAAGTTTGAGATTTAATCCTCTCGAGTAACAGCGTAGAGGGCTTATTTTATTTAATACTTGAAATGGTAGATCAACAACCATCGTATTTTCTTGCGCAACCTTCTTTTCTTTCCTTCACTTGCAAATGAAATTAAACCCACTGACAATGTCTTAACGACGCCCCTTCTTCTACACTATTTTGAAGATGCAAACAACCATATTTTAATTATATCTTATCTAAAACTATATTAATTTTTTATTTTGTTCTTGAATTCAACTATTCAAGTATAAAATGAAAATGATTGCCCGAGACTTAATTGCTAACCAATCAAATCAATTCTAGAATTTTATGATTAAATTTAAATAAAATGATTACTTCTATTACTATAGGACAAATAGTTTATTCATTAAATTGAGAAGACATTCACATGTTCGTCGTTATATTATGTTCACAAAAACAATCCAATATCTCTAATTTAATTGCTAATATCTTACTTCTAAACCGACCATGTATTTGTCTCAATCCATCAGGCATCTCTTCATCAACTTTTAGGTTTAATAAAATTACTGAATGTGAAATTAATTAAATATATCCTAGTTTTTTTTAGCAGGTGTAATTCCCACTTTAATGGTGTCAGTTTATGCGCGGAAGCTTGCTGTGTGAGAAATTAAATTATAAAAATATGGAGTAAATGAAGAGGAAAAGGAAAGTTCGTGGAGGTTTAACTTAACCAAACTCCAATGCGTTAACCGGCACTCAAAGTTTTAAATTCCGACGGTGATCGGCTGCATTTAATCCTAGTTAAAATTGTAAACACGCTCATTGGCCTTGATCTAATCAAGACGGTTGACCCTTGTAATTGGTGACCCCTTTTATTTTATTTTCGGAACGCGTGGATCACCGTTCAGCTGTAATTTAAAAACGTTTCCATTATAATTTTGAGCGTTAATAAACGCGTGTGTCAGTCGGTCCCACAATCCATGTGGCTCCCACTGAAATGTTTGACCTACCATTTTTTTTCGAAAATCGGACGCTGATAAAAGGCTGCCTGTGATCAATACGTCACCCAACGGCGAACCACAAATTAAGAAAACAAAATAAAAGAAGCCGGGAAATAAAGTTTGTTCTCCCACCATATAAAAGGACAAAGATCTGTTGCGATCTCCTGCTCGCTCTCGGATCACTGTAGGACAATCAAATTGTGCCACGTAAGCAAAACGGCGAGTTTTTTAAAAACAGGAAACCGACAAAAACTAGTGCACGGTTCCTTGCGCGGGATTTTACCAAAAACACCCTATTATTCGTGACGTGGCGCACTCAGCGTCTGAGTTTAAGCATTAACGAGTTCCCCTGAGTCGCTTTTCTCATGAATACTACCTAATAGGAGTGTTTATTAAGTCTATAAAACATTGATAAATTTAGTAACACCAAAATAATTTCTTTTATATTTTCAATTTCTGTGCTTTCTCTTTTATTTCCCTGCTTGTCTCTTAATTTTCTTGGGGTTGGGAAAAATTTTCTGTGCAGCTGAGAAACTGAAGAAAAAGGGAGAGATTATCAGGAGGGCGAAAAATTCTTGTTTTTGAAATTTCATTAATATGGGTTTTTCTTGTTGGCCTGGGAGCTCAAGCAAAAGATCAGAGGAGCGGACAAGCAAGAACATCAGCAGGAAGAACAAAAAGAATGATATCAGTAGCAACAAAAGTAAACCCCATGTTCAAACACAAGCCAGTTCGGGTATTGAAATTTATTGTCAAATTCTATGATTTTCTTTATTGCTTGCGTGGAAAAGAATTGCATTGTGTTTGATCATGGTTGATTCTATGTAAAATTTTATTTTCCGTTGCTTTGTTCTAGTGGATAAAATGATTTTAGAATAAAAAACGGATTCCTTCTATTGATTTTCAAACTAATAACTTTGGGGTTTTAGTTTTGATCATTGCAAAATGGGGGTTTTAAGTTCTTACTCATCCAGTTGATATGTTAATATTCGAGTAAATGCTTTTGTGAAATCGTATACAGTATTTACTCAAACATGTAATGTATGTGTAATGATGATAATTTTAATTTTGTTCTAGTGAAAGATCTGTTCTATAATTCGAAAATCCGTACAGGTTGTTTCCATTTGTCCTTCTTTGCTCTGTTTTTTTTTTTTTGCTTTTAAAAATGATGATTGTGGTGGCCAATCTTTAACTCTCTTCGGGTTTTCCTTTTCATGGGACCTTATCTTATGTCTTTTTCATTTGCTTGTGTTTTTTTTTTTGGTCCATTTGTTAAAAGATGAGTCGAAAGTCAGTGCATATGAGTCTGTAAGAAAGGAAGAGGTAGCTAAGGATGACCAGTTATCCGTAGATGTAAAGAAACTTAATTTGGATGATGAGATGTCCAAGGATGGTAAAGCTAGTAAACGGGCACAGACATTTACATTCGATGAACTCACAGCCGCAACAGGCAACTTCCAGTCGGATTGTTTCTTGGGTTCAGGAGGATTTGGAAAAGTTTACAAGGGATTCTTGGAGAAAACCAACCAAGTTAGTAAAGTTTAATATCATTTTGTTGTCCTTGTTGCTAAAAGATTACGAATATTGTCTTGTCCATGCTTTGTTAATTGTCTGGCGTTACGCATTGTGTTCATTGATGAACTCGGTGGTAACTTTCCTGGTTTTTTTTCCATGATGTAGGCTGTTGCTATCAAACAACTAGATCGTAATGGTCTTCAGGGCATAAAGGAATTCGTTGTTGAAGTATCGATATTAAGCATGATGGAGCATCCGAATCTTGTTCAACTGATTGGGTTTTGTACCGAGGGTGATCAAAGACTACTGGTTTACGAGTACATGCCATTAGGGTCATTGGAAAATCATTTATATGGTAAGAAAGTCTTCCTCCTGTTTACCTGCTGATTCCGTTTTCGTTCCTCTTCTGTCTTTGATCAATGACTTATCTTCTGATTATGGTACAGACCTTCCACCTGGCCAAAAACCACTTGATTGGAACACTAGGATGAAAATAGCAGCTGGTGCAGCAAAGGGCTTAGAGTATTTGCATGTAAAATTGGATCCGCCAATCATATACCGGGACCTTAAATGCTCCAATATTTTGCTCGGTGAAGGATATCATCCGAAGCTATCCGATTTTGGTTTGGCCAAAGTTGGTCCCAGTGGCGATAAGACTCATGTTTCTACTAGGGTTATGGGCACATATGGCTATTGTGCACCGGATTATGCCATGACCGGACAGCTGACATTTAAATCGGATATTTACAGCTTTGGGGTTGTCCTCTTGGAACTAATTACCGGCAGGAAAGCAATTGACAATACAAGAGAACGTGGTGAACAAAATCTCGTTGCATGGGTAAGAAAGCTTATTCCACATTACTTGAAGGTGTCTGTTATCATATCAAGATTGTCGATTTAATATGTATCTGTGATGAACGTGGTTTCGTTTGGTTATCTTCATTTAATGTGTATTTGTAGCTGATATTGCTATGTCAAGTAACTGGTAAAAGAAAAGTGGTAATTACGGAAGTGTTCGCTTCTATCAGTTTTACAGATATCGGTTTATTTGCTTGCAGGCGCGTCCCATGTTCAGAGACAGAAAGAACTTTTCACGAATGGTTGACCCTCTACTGCAAGGTCAATATCCTGTCCGAGGTCTCTACCAAGCGCTTGCCATTGCTGCAATGTGTGTTCAGGAGGAGCCTAATATGCGACCTGCTGTATCCGATGTGGTTATGGCTCTGAATTACCTTGCCTCCCAAAAATATGACTCGAGCAGTCCTGTCCACAGCTCCCGAAAGAGCATGCCATCATCGGCAATGAATATGGATGATGATGAAAAACCAGTTTCAGAATATGAACTTGATAGACGCTGAGCTCGGAGGACAAAAAACGAAAACTAAAAATAGCTAATAAAGGTTACTGCGATGTTAATATGGTGGCTAGTTATCGATTTTTGGATCAAAAAAGATAACCGGCATACTTCCAACCCGTAAAATCATCACATACAGATATTTTTTCCCTTCTTTATCTCCCCTTTGCTGGCGTACATGTGAGTTGGGGGTTCTTGTATGTAAGATGCTTCATTGTAGGAACATTTTTCACATGATAATAGATTTAGCCATCTTAATATCTTATAACATTAAGCAAAAAATGTGATTACCTGCAAATAAAAAAATTCTTACATCGGCTAGCCGAAACCATCATTACTTACTGGTCCAGGAATCGACAATTTCCTAATCATGGCGCTCAAGTTTCTGCACCAAAACTCGTTCTTGACTCGAGTTTTCAACTCACAAAAGAAACAGAAAATTTTCTTGGGGTTGGAAAATTTTTCTGTGCAGACGAGAATGTGAAAGGAAAAGGGAGAGGTTATTAGGAGGGAAAAGAATAAACCATTTTTAGAAATTTAACTATTGAGTACGAGTTGGTTTTGTTGGCATGGGAGTTGAAGCAAAAGATCAAAGAAGAACGATATCAGTAGCGCCAGTTCGGGTACTGAATTTTATAGTCAAATTCTATGTTTTTCTTTCTTTCTTTTTTGAGCGAAAAGGAATTGAATTGTTGCATAGGTAAGACCACATTACTTCTGTTATTATGTCGGGATTGTCCCATGTTGGAAGACACAGAAAACCTCTTTCACCAGTGGTTGACCCTCTACTGAAAGGTCAATATCCTGCCATTGCGGCCGCTTGTGTCTGAATTACATAGCCTCCCACAAGAGCAATCCAGTCCACAGCTCCCGACCATCATCTTCAACGAATATGATTTATGGTGACGAAGCAGTTATTCAACATTGGCTTCAAATGTTGCGATTGTTGAACCCCCCCCCCCCAAAAAAAAAGGAAAAAAGTAGCTACTGAACGTTGCTGCAATGCTAATACGGTGACTAGTTGTAGATTTTTTTTGGATCGAACAATATAACCGCCATACTTGTGAGATACGTTTTACACATGTTGAATGGACTATTCATTGTTTTTAAACAATGATCACATGCCTATTATTCACGAAAATGTTAGAAAATGATTATCATGTTTCAGTCAACATATTAATGTCAAACTTAGACGTCCGTTATTTTTTTAACAGAAAATGACAAGTTCGGAACCTAATAAATAATCGAGTGATAATTTTGTAACTTTTAATAGTCGATGGACTCAACAAAGCAATTCCATGGATAATTTTGTAACTTTTAATAGTTAAAGAACTCAACAAAATAATATTTTATAGTTAGTGGACCATTTGTGTATTTTACCCTAAAATAAAAAACCAAAAACACTTATAGGTCAAAAATCAAGTTCAATCTAAACCCATCAATAACAATAAGATATCTACAGATCAACGGTTAATAATCCGACACCTAAATTGACAAGAGTACTTTAGCACACGCAAACAATACTTCCCCCCGCTTCCATTAAGCTATAATCACCCAAAAGGCAAACCAATGAAATTAAGAAAAGGGTTAAGTAATTCAAATACCACAAACCTTTAAGTATTGACTCGTTTATACCACTAACATTTTAATTTTGTCAATTTTAGCACTAATATTTACTTTTAAGTCCAATTATACCACTCCGCCGTTAATGATTTAAAGGCACGATGACTTGGCAGGGCATGTTGTGACGTCACTAAACATGGATGCCTCATCTAAACGACGTCATTTTGATGTTTCTGTTTTAATACTCAAAAGACCCAAAATGATATTGTTTTACTTGAACCATAAATTTCCTAGGTACTAAACTCGAAAATTTTCCATTATTTTCTTCTTCGTCCTCCTCATCTTCATCTGCATCTCATTTTCCATAGTTTTCTTAACAATCAAC